TTATGCTCAGATGAAATTTTCAGAGAAAAAATGATTTTGTATACTATAACATAAATGAACAGGTGAACGTTCCTAAGGTTTATTTTAATACTTTTCTTTTTTAAAAGCTTTAGCCACAGTAGAAGACTTCCAGATTCGTCCACATACTCTTTACGTACATTCTTACAAAGCTCCTACTTTTTGTGATTATTGTGGTGAAATGCTCTGGGGATTGGTACGTCAGGGACTGAAATGTGAAGGTATGTGTTCTAAAATTTTTGTGGTCATTTAAAATAGGGTTTCACATTTGCATTCTTTTATTATCACTGAGAAAATGAGATTATTAGTTGGTGACTAGGGAGTAACCAGGATTTAGAATTGGAAGGATTGGGACTCTTTCATATTCTTGGGCAATTTACTTAATCTCTCTGGGGATCAATTTCTCTGTAAAATATATTCTACCCCATGGGTTTTGTGAAGCGTAAATGGTTAAGTAAGGTAATATGGGTAAAATATTTGTCACAGAGTAGTGGACCAATAAATATTAATGTTTTTAATGTTTTTTTAAAGTTAAGTCTTACATACAACAAAACTGTCAAAGTTGTTCTGAATTACAATTGCTAGGGGGTAGGGCACAGGTGTACATTTCTGATTAAGAAACAGTCCTCCTAAGGTGGAGTGTCAATAAATTTTTTCTGTAAAATGCGAGAGAATAAATATTTTAGGCTTCGCTAACTATCTATTATAATGTGAAACTAGCCATAGACAAGATGTAAACAAATGGACATGGCTGTGTTTCAGTAAAACTTTATTTAGGAACACTGAAATTTGAGTTTCATGTAATTTTCATGGCACAGGAAGAATTTGGTACACAGGCCACAGTTTGCTGACCAGTGCTTTAAGCCAGTGGTTCTCAAACTTTGTTGTGCATCATAAAACATATTTTGCTGGGTCCCATCCCCAGAGTTTCTAATTCAGTAGATCTGGGGTGGAGCCCAGTAATTTACATTCCTAACAAATTGCCAGGAGATAGTTTTAGGGACCACACTTCAGGAACCACTGTTCTAGCCAACTTAACCTTTCTGAACAGACCTTTCTACCCATTTCCTGTTCTGCTTCAATTTGTTAGCTTCCCCTTAGCGTGCCATCTGGGTTCTTAGAGTAGGTATTGCTAACAGAGAAATTAATAAAGGAAGCACCAATTTTTTATGTGTCACACTTAAAAGTGTTTTTAATCTTATTTTTTACCTTTTAAAATATATTTAGGCTGTGGATTAAATTACCATAAACGATGTGCCTTCAAGATTCCAAATAACTGTAGTGGAGTAAGAAAGAGACGTCTGTCAAATGTATCTTTACCAGGACCTGGCCTCTCGGTTCCAAGACCCCTACAGCCTGAATGTGTAGCCCTTCTCAGTGAAGAGGTATGTATTCTAAGGTAATAGAGGACTAGTTATTCCTTATGTTTCTACAGTGTGTATGACATTCTAGAACATAATTGGTATACTAAAGAACAGTAATGTTCCTACACTTAAGAAACTTAAAATGTAATAATGGGGCAGGGTTTACCAATAGTAATGAATTGCACTTTTGTACACCTTGGGATTGCATTATTTATTACTTGGACC